CTGTGCAACGAAGGAGGAAGGGGCCACCGTTGCCTTCACGATGAATGTGACGACGCATAAATACGCCGGCCCTTATGAATTGTGGTGGCGTCAATTCTCCCGATGGAGCCATCCATCCGCCTGCACGGAGCAGCGATGCTGACCGGACGGGCATCCGTCAGTTGCTGCCACCCCGTGAAGGGAAGGATGACACAAAATCTGGCGAGACAACTGCGATGCAAGTTAATGCTGAGCCGTCACGTCAGAACGCGGATTGGCGACGGTCTGCGGCGGCTGACGCACCCAACACCGTCGATCCGAGTCCCGCATCCAACACGGCGACCAACACGTCCGGGACGAGGCCTGAGTTTGCTCACGTTTAAAATATCAATGTGGCTCCGGCACCACCCGAAAGAAGGCCCACGCCTGTCACCGAGCCAAAGGAGGATGCCATTGATGATGCGATGAGTGGTTCAATAAATGTTGAGTTACCTCCAGGGAGTCGATCTATTTGTTCTGCGGACGACGCTGGTGCAGCCGACAGATGGGATTTTTCCGGTTACGACGAGGGATTCATTTGCTTCACCCTCTCTCGTCAGTGCTGGTGGAGTAATTGCTGCTTTCGCCTAGGGTCACATGGATGCCGAATATCAACTTGGTCAATTAAGTAAGCCCTTTTCTTCTGATGTTGTTGCGGGGTACATCGACTCTGTGTGGAATTGGTCCACTGTTGTTGGTGAGTTCAATAAAAGGATACATGGATGGCACACACTGTACCTGGTGCAGCGGAGGGAGAGGAGAGTTTGGGTGTTGTGCTCTGCCTCACAACAATCACGAAGGGCAACGGAGTGTTTCCTCTTGCGGGAGGCTCTGATGTGTCCTACGAAGGTGGGTGTTGGAGAGAGGGCGGCTTGGAGCTGAAACTGTTTGTGGGCGATGTCACGAATCCCACGGGTGGCAAGCGGAGTGAGTGGATCGAATGTGGCGACCCCAAACCACTCTTGAAACGGATCTCTTCTGCTTCTCACGAAGGTGACTGGACGGAGTTCACTGCTTCTGGTGGCGCAGGTGTTGTGATGGAGGATGGCACGCTCGTGTTTTCTCTGATGGCGGTGGATGAAGCAGAAGACGTTTACTCCGCGATCATTTACTCGACGGACAACGGCAGTGCCTGGGCGCTCTCTGAGGACATTTCCCGTGCGGAATGCCTTAACCCCCGCGTCACCGAATGGGAGGGATAACTTCTCATGAGTGTTGACTGCGAGAATAGGCAGAGGGTGTGGGAGTCGCGTGGCATGGGGACAGCGTGGACGGAGGCCATCGGGACACTCTCAGCCGTGTGGGTCAACGCACGATCGGGAGTCCCTCAGAAGGAAAGCTTGCGCGTGGATGCCCTCATCACCGCGACCATTGAGGAAAGGAGGGTCATGCTGTGCACTCAGAGAGGGCATCCCTCGGGGAAGAAAAGGACCACTGCGCTCTGCCTTTGGGTCACGGACAACAACCGCACGTTTTCTGTTGGATTGGTTGCCATGGACAGTGCTTCAAAGTGGAAGACAGAACTGAAGGACTGCGGTATGTAATTGGATGCTCTCCTTTCGTTGCCTTGTTTCTTCTCTGCGCATGGCACTATCTTGCGGTGCGACTTGGATGGCGTTGCTATTACATGTGCCCTTGTGTATGCGCTGTGCTGCGGGCATCTTTTCCCCATGACACCGTCTTTTTGTGTGTGTGGGTGAGTGAAGGGAGCAGAGATGCGTGATGGAGCGTGAGTGGCCGCTGTTTCCGCACATTGGATCTTCCATACATGTGGCACCTCTCGGCAGTCTCTTGCAGCAGCAGGCCGTGGATTGAGAGGCTTCTAGGGTCTGCTCCAACCACAAGTACAACGAGGACAACAAGGTGCAGTGCGTGACGGCCAGCCTGATCTGCGTGTGGTTGCAGTGCATGGAGCACGTGGGCCAGTACGCGTTTGGCGTTGCTCATGATTGTGGAGCAGAGGCGCCACGACACTGTGGCGCTGTGTGTGTTGTGCGCCGGGGCATGGCGACGATTGTGAGGACACGGAGCTGTTCGACTGGGAGGAGCTGGCGTACGTTGCGGCGCAGCGGGAGCGCATGACGGCTGCGTGTGCTGGGAGGGTCCGACGATCCTGAGGCCTGTGCTGGAGGGCCGCGTGTTGAAGTGAGCGTGGCGTGCCTGTGAGGATCTGAGAAGAGGGAATAACAGTAATGGTGACTGTGGGAGTGTGAGGAACGGTGCACGGCGAGGGGCATTCCTTTGTTTTGATTGTGGTGCGTGACTCTCATTGCTCGATGGGACGGTGCGGTGGCTGTGTGACTTGTCTCTCCTCTTTTGCTTCCTCTGCGTTGACGGGGAGTTTGTTTGTGCTGAAGGCTGCACGCAAGTGACAGGAGTGATGGCGATGATGATGACTGGCCGTGTGCTGCTGGTGTGTGCCCTCTGCGTGCTGTGGTGCGGTGCCGGCAGATGTCAAGAAGCACTCTTAGTTTCTCAGTCTGAAGTGCCCGGTGCAATTGAGGGGGACGGAGGACAGCCACGGGGTTCATCAGGCTTTAAAATGCCAGAATCACACGCACCAGGCTCAGAAGCCTCAGTACGAGAGGTTCAGCAAGAACAAGATCCGTCCCCACCTCGTGAAGAAACTCAGTTAGGAACCAAAGGTGGTAATATGGTAGAAAAGGCAAAAGAAAAAGGTGCTGCCAAAGACGCTGGAAAAGAAGGGGAATTGGATGGAAAAACTATTGAGCTAAAAAAGCCTGAAGACAAACTGACGTCTGTGGAGGGCCAGCAGTTGAATAACAATGAAGGCTTGCATCCGACAACATTGAATGGACCTAATGGAGTTGAAACGACAACACCATCAAGAGAAATTTTGTCAGTTCGTGAAGATCAACAAGATTTGTCGAGTTCTCTGCTGCCTCCGTTACACAACACCTCACCGGGTGGAACTCCACCATCCACTCCTGCAGCTGGCCGTGCTGACACAAAAAGCCACGAAAACGACATTGGCAAGAAGAATTCTCAACAGTCTGTGGTAGGAGACATTGGACAGAACAATGACACCGGCGAAAAAGCTGTCGATTCAACGGGTGAAGAAGAAGGTTCACGATTGTCAGTCGCGACAGTTGAGGAAATGAGTGAGACAACAAAGAAAAGCGACAGCGGCGGCACCGCGACAACTACAGCTGTGGGGACTGACATTGGCACGGAAGAAACTCCGCCCACCAATCATCCGAGCAAACCCTCCACTGAAGGCGCCACAACACCCGGAACGACTTCCGATGGTGAAGCCGCATCAACCAACAAATACGATACAGTCTCTCAGAATGCAGGTTCCACAACAGCGGCAACCACGAACGCCACAACAGGTGACACGGCGAAGAAAGGCGACAGCGACAGCAGCACCGCGGTCCCCCACACCACCTCCCCTCTTTTGCTTCTTCTTGTTGCGTGTGCGGCGGCGGCTGCGGTGGTGGCCGCGTGAGAGTGAGTGTGAGAGAGCCGTGCACCGCCCGCACACACACTCTTCCTTCACTCTCTGTGTGTGTGTGTCCCCTTGCATGGACTCTCGCCCTCACCTCACCCCACGAGGCACACACATGATGTGCCCATTGTATATATGCATGCACACCCATGCAGGCCCGTTGGTGCTCTCTTTTGCACGACACGCACCGCTGCCGTCCTGCCTGGCTGCATGGGCGGAGCACCGTAACTGTTTCTGTTTTGTTTTTATTGCATTGAGTGGGCGACCTCTCTCTCTCTCCCTCTGTGTGTGTGTTTTGCTTTACGGGAGTAATGAGAGAGTGTGTGCGCTGGTCGTCCCACGCTTCGGCTTTTTGTTTTATTGTTTTACTTGTGTTGTGGTTGAGTGCACACGTTGCACTTTCTGATCGGCTGCATGCTTTGGATGCGGACACTGGAGTTTTCTTTTTTATATATGTTTTTGTTTTTGTTGAGGAAGCGCCAGTTTCTTGTATTCTTGTAAAGTCATTAAGATTGTCTTTGGCTTATGAAATGAGTCCTGTGATTCACGTCACCATGCGGTCTGCATCGCCTCTGGTGCTGCTATTGATGATCTGTGCGATGTGATTTGTCGGCGGGTGTCCTGCTTTCATCCTGAAGTGTTCCTTATTTCGAGACGATGTGGTGCGCTCCCACGGCGAGGTTTATCTTGTTTACGGTGAGGAGAATGCATCTCAGGGCGCAGGATGCATTGCGGATGTGCAGCGGGATCCGGAAGGACCGACAGGTGCCCTTCCGCATCAAGACGTCAAAAAAAGACTTGTGTGACATCAGGAAGGACTGCGGCTTCTTTTGGCGTTGCGCAGTAAATTCTTTGGACGACGCGTTTGGCTGTAAGAATGGTGCTTTGACCCCTGCGCACGAGAACATCCTTGCCGAGGAGACTGTCCCTGCTGCTGTAAACCCGCATGCGGATCGTCTGCTCTTCCAGCCACTGGAGGGTCCGCTGACTGTGTCCTCATTTGCCACGGGCAGCGTTTGCAGTTGTTTTACGGTAACTTCTGGGCATCGTTCCGCTGGTGTTTTCAATGCTGTCATGGTGCTGTACGTGGCTGCGGCGTTTGGCGGTGTGTGGGTACTGCCGTGCGCCACGCTGGAGGATGGCCGTCCAGTCGCTGGCGCCATGCACTTTTTCTGTCAGTTTTATTTCACGGATGCATCGCCACCCGCATCGCCGCGCACCTGTTGGCCCATGCTCTCGGGTTCACCTGCCCGCAGATGGCAGGCCGCAGCACGGTGAGGAATGTTGCCGGTTTGCGTGGCAGGGCGCTGTTGGCGGTGGTGCACTCGGCGACTTCCGCGATGCCTGCAGGGGAGCACCACGACTGCGACGACATTGATGGCATGGAGCTGCAGGATGACGATGGGAGCGGGAGGACGCTGGAGTCGCACTGGTCGCAGCGCCACACGAGGGATGAGTGGATGGCACCGATTGTGGGCGCCGGCTGCTGCAGAGGAAGTGCTCCGCACTGAACATGAGTGAATATTGCTACATGCTCTGCGCATTGGGCGTTTCTGCCAGGTGCTGCGCGTCGGAACGGTATTCCAGCGGTTGGTGTAGACGGAGTATCCTTGAAATGTCAGCAAAACGCCCGATGGACAGTTGCCCCATCAGTGATCCCGCACTGGATGTGAGGGATGCTGCCGCTGTTATTTGGAGGGGAGAATATTTTTCTGCGATGCCTGGGGATGAGTCATCTTCGTGGTGTCTGGACACGCTTCCCACCAACACGACGGATGCGAGGGACCCGGAGGAGACACATCCGAGTGCTGTAGCGCAAGCGGCATTGAGGTGCCTCAGTATGTAGGTGCATTTGGAAGTGACTGAAAAGGGTGACGTCCGTTGTGTTCCATGCACGGACGGAGCGACGATTGCGTGGACCACTCGACCGTACGCTGAGGGAAACGCTATTTGCCGTGACCACGCGCAGGTGTGCACGATATCCGCCAACAGCGGCAGCCTACTTCCGGTGGTTCCGTGGGACGGCGAGGAGAGAGCATGTGGAGCAGGACGGTTTCACCGGCATCTACTGAACGAGGATTGCCAGGGGCATCCGTCACCGTTGCGGGGAGCATTGAGACCGACCACGGCACACCACCGAAGGATGTAGACACGGCTGTTCCCCAGAAGAATCCGTTGAAAGAGGAGAAGTGGATCCGGCCAGGATACCCCGACAGACCGCGAGAATCTTCTCTCGGCGGCAGGGATCGAAGCAGCGAGACGGACGGCGAGCAGGCCCGTCCCCGACTCCTGGTGATGACACTGTTGCTGCTGCTTGTCCCTGTACGCTGCTTCTTCTGCTTGTCTCTGCTGCTGCCGTGGCAACACTCTATCGATTTGCGGTGTGGTCGGCGTTGCGCTGCAAGGGGACTGCGCTTCCTTCTGCGTGGCCTGCAATCAGCACTGGAAGCCCAATAGAAAAACATCCATTTCAATGGTTCCCTTTCTCCATATGCATGTGCTGTGTGTACTCCGTCTGACTTTGTGTTTGAAATTGGTTGTATCTACGATCCACATATCTCTTCTTGTGTTGGTTGCCGATGTGGACAGCCGTATGGTATTATGGCATTGCTTGTGTGCTTGTTAGGTTTTCTGAGATGCACATACATACACCGGTGCGAGTGAAATGTGCACACAAGACACACACACGCATATCCAAGCACATTGTCTGTGTGACTTCTAATTGACATGGTATGCGGGGCGGGTTGGTGCGGTCAAGGCCGACGGAAGCTGGCAGCCGCGTGAGTCCAGCAATGGCGTTTGTGGTTGTGTGCGGGATCATATGTTCCATCACATGCTTGACGCCGTTCATGGACTGTCCAAAGTTTTTTACTGCGATGCCCATGCTGCGTCTGCGCTGAGCTGCTCACTGCGTCACCATGATCTCATGGAGCACGGCGTGACGCTGCTCGGGGACCTCATGACGCCGCGGCAGCCGGTTATCAGCAGCCCTGCGCGCTACTTTTTTGCCGTGGAGGATTCGTCTGTGAGCCGCGTGGCTGAGGATTGGATGGCAAAGGTCCCGTACAGGGATGCACACATCTTTGCGTTGTGGTGCACCCCGCATCGCCGCCTTCAGCAACTGGTGCGGGCTCGGATAGCGCCGAGGGCGATGCGTTTGAAGGACAGTATGTTAGACTTCGCCGCCACTGAAGTGCTGGTGTTCCACCCCAGCATGCAGAATGAGTTCTTTCAGCTGCTGTCGCCACTGTCGCCGCCGACTCGAGAATCCGTTTTGAACGTTGCTGAGTCACTTATTGTGGCGGCTTTTCACGCCATGAACAACGGTGTGCCTGTCATTTGCCAAAAAAAACAGAGGCAGCATCTGCCATGGGTTTGCCAGGACCTTTTTTGAGGGCTTTTCAGGCTCTGCTACGACGAGCCGGATTTCACATAGTGGCGCCGACAGCTGCGGCAACCCGGTGCGGATCATCGTTGATTGGGGCTGTGTCACGGTGACGCCGCTGATGCACCAACGCACATGTCAGTTTGTGCTTGATGACCTGATGCCGCTGGAGAATAACTTGTATGAGCAGACCTGTAGGAATCGTCTGGGTGAGGGCTCGAAGCGGCAGTAATTGATGAGGAAGATGTATACTGGTGCTCCTACCGTCATTGTTTTCTTGCGCAGTGCGTGTAGGAGCCTTCGGTGGCGCTGAAAAAACTCCACGCGTATCACCCGGGATTGGCGCAGGGCGTGGAGCCGAAGGCCAATCTTGCGGAGTTGAGCAGTGCGGTGCGGGCTCCGCCGGAGTTTCGGGAGAGGCAAGCCGGACTGTCGCTGCACATCGATTTTTTGCGCGAGGCTTGTGGCACAGTACCGGGAGAAGCGACTGGCGGAGGTGCGGGGGGTGGAACAAGACATCGCCGTTGGGCACAAACTCCTCAGGAAATACCTGAATGGCGTGCGGCACCTGACGAGGGATACCGCAATGCCCTGGCCTGTGCGACTGTGTCTTCTCCTGTTGCTTGTGACTGCGAGCAGCACCGACGAGTTGACGGAGGCCAATAAGCAGCAGCTGATCCGAGACGGTGGACTGACGTTAGACGCCCATTTGTTTGCGAATCTTGAGCATGTGACGAGGAGGGCCGGGAGCGTGCAACCAGAGAGCACGGCGTCGGCGCAGGGCAAACGGAGCACGAGTGCCTCTGCGAGCAACGCCGCGACGGACGAGGATCCGTTTCTGAAGCAGAGCTGCATGATTATGGAGACGGGCAGGAATAAAACGCTGCGGGTTGGGCTGTCGTTGGCATCGGTGGAGCGCGATCATGCGATGAGGCCAAATGGCGCGAGTTGTGGTCAAAACAGTGGAGCATGAGGGAACAACGCCGGGCCGCTTCAATGGTGTGGTGGCAAATGGGAGAATCATCCAGATCTGGGTGGCGGTGATGGTGGGGCGATTGCCCTCACAACTCCTCAGCGTATTGTGCTGCTTGTTTTGGGTGGTGTAACCCGCAGCGAGAGGCGCTCGGTCCATGAGATATCCAAAAGGTATGGCCGTGAGGTGGTCATTGGGGAGCCTCGCTGCCGCGTCCTGAGGTGTGTTTGTGCAGGGAATTGGCACCCTACGGCACTGTGACTCACGGGCGAGACACGCACAGGAACGCATCGAGAGCCAAAGAGTGGAACAGATGCAACCACACACGATTGCGGGTGTCTGTGGAAATTGTGTGCGCTTCTTCCTGCATCCCGTTCCTTTCCATGAAGCGTTTCATACGATGTGCGTATGTGTGTTTCAACGGCTGCGCTGCTTGCCTTTTACCTTTGTATTCTTGCGTGTGCATTTGCAAGTCATTTCCATGCAACTAAGAAGGCGGCTAAAAAAGGAAAGACATTTGTGGGGCATGCACCCACGGCTTCAGTGTTCATCCACCGGTGCTGACCTTTTTTGCTGGGGCATTTGTGCACGCTTTCCCTCCATTGTCTATTTTTTTTTGCACAGGAATCAACAGGTGGGCATTCGTGAGTGCTGCGGCGGGCTGTTGTTGCCCTCGCCTGGACGCGCTTAACGGCGTCAGTTCCATGAATTTGTGCACAAAAGGAATGGGACTTTCTCCGGATCCTCACCGCAGGCGCATGCCGTGGACGGCCGCAAAGGAGTGTGTGCCCGGTGTTGTTCGTAGCTCCAAGGAAAAGATGGTGTTGGATGGTGCACGACGAGTGGATGTGGATTGCGTTGACCGTGCATCGCAGGTGTATCCGCTGGAGACATTGCGGGCGGCCGTCGCCACATGCGAGTACAACACATTTGGAGGAAAAAACATTTTTAATTGGTCTCTCAGGTGGAATCCAATGTGCTCAGGCAATGCTTTACGGCAAGGAGTGGCCGGAGGGGACGCACGACGAGGACGCCACTCGCACCGTCATTTATTTCCGTCGCCGCGAGACCACAACGCAGCCCGAGCCAATACGCCCTGCGGATTTTCCGAGGCGGCATGCGCTGTTCTGTTTGTCGCCACTGTTCCCCCATCCCCGAGCGTCGGTGCAGACGTCCCCGTCGATGCAAGTTCCTGTCGCTTTCGGACACATCCATTGATTGATGCGGCCGGCACCGCCCCCAGCAGCTGGTGCAGTGGGACTGGGGACGAGAACACAGCAGACCAAGTTCGGTCAGATGGTGCTGGCAGCCCTGTCAGCATCCCGCCGACTCCAGCGGCGAGCACAGAAATCGACGGGAAGGGAGAGGAATCAAATGACTGCCAGGGAAACAATTGTCTTTTAACGTCATTCCCAGTCAAACAGCCGGAAGAATTAACGACAACATCAGTCACTAACAATGACGAAGCAACAACGACCACCGCCGACAGCGACAGCACCACCGCGGCCTTCCAAGCCACCTCCCATCCTTTGCGTCTTACTGTCTCGTATGCGTGCTGCTGCTGCTGCTGCGGTGGTGGCGGTGCCTGCATGAAGTGGAGTGCGCTGAATATGAACGAGGGCCGAAGGCAACTGAACTGTTCTTGCGATAAATATTGGCTGCACTTCCCGTGGACCAACAATCCACGTGGTGTGCGGGGATCTCCCTTTTTGTTACTACTTTGCTTTTGTGTTGCTGTGTGCGCTGCACCTTTTCCTGTGTGTGTGCGTACCCTCCGTGAGGGGTGCAGGCACGACGGACCGCTCTCGCCGTGTGTGCATGCGGTGGAGCCTTGTGTGCCGCTCCTGTTTGCTTCTCCCTCTTCCATCTGTGTGTTGGTGCTGCGGCAGGGCTGTGTGTGTGTGTGTGTGTTGCCGTGGATTGGAGTGTGTGTCGTGCGTGGTGTGCGGCGTACGGTGCATGCCTGGCTGCTGCCCTCTCCTCATGTGGTGTGCCCTCTGTGTGTGTCTGCCGCACCTCTCGTCTCCCCTGTTGCTCTCCATGTCCCTCACTGTGCAGATCAGCTCCACACCACTGAACGACCACACTCACGATGATGATGTGCCGTCTGCTGTGTGCCCTGTTGGTGCTCGCCCTGTGCTGCTGCTCATCCAATGCATCGGACACTGAGCTGGCGGAACAAGATTCTTCCCAGAAGACCATGACGACGACTGCAACACAGGCAACAACCCTGACGCTCGGTCAGTCAGGTCCGAAAGGTGAGGAGTCCGGTGGGGAGAAGGGAAATACTGCCGTACTTGGAGATGGAGGAGTTACGACCGTTCCTGGACCACAATTAAATGTGACGTCCAATGTGTTAGCGACAGAAGTTAAGAACGGTATGACAGGGACAAAAAGTGACACGAGTACAGCCGCAGAGAAAGCAGGTCAGAACGCCGAAGCTTCTGCCAAGACAACCACCACTACAACACAGACACCAACTAAAACG